CCGCGTGCTCGGGTACAAGGTCTCGACCTAGTACTAGGGCAAAAAACGGTACTTGGGTACTTTGAGTAGCCAGTGCCTGAACGCGATACTATTTAGAGCCAGTGCCCAGGCACCGTTGCTCGATCCGGCACTGTGTGAACACAGCCTGAGATGTTTATTTAAACGGGTACGAAGGTTGCGGCATCGGCTAAGAATAACATTTGGCCGGGAGGGACATAAAGCAAAGAGAGTCGGCGAACAAATAAATTAGATTACACAGTTTTAACTTCAAATCCTACTGATTACTTGGTTAATTTTTTTTCTATAGCAGATAGAATGAGTTTTGTTTTGATATCACATATTTCCTGGTTTAAGCTAAGAGATCATGTCAAAGTGTCAAACTGGGATGGAGTAGGAAAAATAAAGCCTGTTTTACTAAAAAAGCTATATTGTATTGCACATTTTAGACAAGGAAGGCGTATTTCACCTGTTCATCTAGAATTTGTTTTTATTGTGGCACTGATTTATAATTTTAGTAACAATAAAAACATGAAGTTGTTTTGTGCAAATAGTGTCCACTCATCAAAGTAGCGAGTGGCGGAAAGTGCATAAAGAATAAAGTTTTTGCAATGTTTCAGAAGAGTGTGTTCATTAGAGCACATATATCGCGCATATTATAACACAAAACATTGACACTCGCACGTTCCTCGAAACGCACGGGAGCGCGAAACTACGATGGTACAACACTTACACATCCATAGCATATGTCGTGTTTATCGCAAGCCATTGTAAACTGCCGTTTAAACGGAGCGTTCATTCCCATCGGAGTGCTACAACCGTTTGTATTTCTGTCCGCGTCACAAACTCTGCACGAGCAAAACGTGAAGTCCATCAGCACCAGACCAAGTGTTAACACATAAGCTACAAACGCCATGATTCACGGTGATCGGTCGGCTCTTGAATTCATGTGAAGCTACCATCTCACAGAGACACGCTTTTCTTGAGAAAAGCTCAAAGCTCTGCCATTGGCGTGATATCGCCTCAGTCTGTTTCAGCACTAGCCTTCTTTAAGGGGATTTTCTTGTAGAAAAATTGACTTAAAGGTTTTATAAACCACTCGTGCTAATTAATAGTTTATGACATCATCGACCTGTACGTTTTGAAATAGTTTCCCGATCTGTTATAGTTGCTATAACAACGATTTCTGGTGGTTTAACTGGTGACTGTACAGCCCAACATTGTTAAGGGAACATTGTAGCTACAGGAGTTAAATTGTGCGCGCGCGATGTACGACACTTGAAGCGGCGCGCGCTTCTGCAACAAATTTGCACGCGCAACATTGCGCAAGTTTTCAACGGGTTTCTGATTTAAGCTGTTTTACGCTCAATTACTATACTTTGTAGCCTTAAGAGTACTATTTTTTAGTCATTGGAAGTTTATTTCAACGTGTATTCAGTTATTTAAGGCTTTTTCATGCCTATC